GTTTCTCATCTTGCATTGAATATTTCTCTATACATTTTTATAATATTTTCTTGTTGGTTGATCCCTGCTCATACGTTACAAATCAATCACCTTGGCTTGGTAGCTCCATACATAATCACTTCTCATTGGTTATCATGAGATATGAGATATCTAGGTATATGGTACACATAATTGATCATTCAATAAATAAACAAGCTTGACTGTAGGAAATGTTTAATTACTTAAATTAACATTTAATATTTGTACAGTTTCTCCTGATTATATAAAAAAAAAATACACCCTATATGATTTCAATGTGGCAAATCTGGCTGATTCATCTCAAGGATAACTTAAGTCATGGATGGAACTTATTGTATTAACCAGCTGTCAAAAAGGACGAAAAAGCAAGTACCCCCACCCCAACCAGCCAATCCACCCCAGCCAGTCAATCCACCTCAACCAGTTGATCCACCTCAACCGGTCAGTCCTCCTTCCACCGAGAAGCCTCCGTCACAATCGCAAGTCAGTGCGTCGTCCCAGGCACAGGTGAGACCAGCATCATTGTAGCGGGAGGAGGATTTCGTGTGTCTCTTGAAATAACTGTATGTTGTTGGTTTAGCATAGTTGTGGCAACTAATACAGTGTTTTGCGCTTACCTTTCATACTCAAGCCTATATAAACAACTCTTCCTATTGTTTAAATATCAATAAGTTTTCTCATCAATTGGTATTTTGTTGGTTTCTGAAGTTTTTAATTAAAATCGTGTAAAAAGGGCATGAAAAAGAGATAGTTGCAAACATGTCCTGTATTTCATACCTGAAGTCTGCATCCTAAGGATACTGAGGATTGAAGTCATTTATCCTAGGATATATGACACACTGCGATGATTTTGCTCTGTGAGATTTTTAACCTTTAGCCTTTTAAGTCATTTGGCGGTAAATTTGTGACAAAATAACGCTCTTGCAGAAAAATATCTTTTAACATTTATGAAGCGTACATACATGCTGGTGCCTTGGAAAAATAGCTGTAATCTACACTACAAATAGATACAGAGTTATGTAACACAGCTGACATCTAAATGACAAATAAATTCAGGGATATGTAATATAGCTGTCATGTACACTACAAATAGATACAGAGATATGTAACACAGCTGTCATCTAAATGACAAATAACTACAGGGATATGTAATATAGCTGTCATGTACACTACAAATAGATACAGAGATATGTAACATAGCTGTAATCTACACTACAAATAGATACAGAAAAAGGTGACATAGCTGTAATCTACACTACAAATAGATACAGAGATATGTAACATAGCTGTAATCTACACTACAAACAGATACAGATATGTAACACAGCTGTAATCTACACTACAATAGATACAGAGATATGTAACACAGCTGATATCTACACTACAAACAGATACAGAGATATGTAACACAGCTGTAATCGTAATCTACACTACAAACAGATACAGAGATATGTAACACACCTGTAATCTACACAACAAACAGATACAGAGATATGTAACACACCTGTAATCTACACAACAAACAGATACAGAGATATGTAACACAGTTGTAATCTACACTACAAACAGATACAGAGATATGTAACACAGCCGTAATCTACACTACAAACAAATACAGATATGTAACACAGCTGTAATCTACACTACATACAAATACAGATATGTAACACAGCTGTAATCTACACTACAAACAGATACAGAGATATGTAACATAGTTGTAATCTACACTACAAACAGATACAGAGATATGTAACAGCTGTAATCTACACTACAACAGATACAGAGATATGTAACACAGCTGTAATCTACACTACAAAAAGATACAGAGATATGTAACACAGCTCTAATCTACACTACAAACAGATACAGAGATATGTAACACAGCTGTAATCTACACTACAAACAGATACAGAGATATGTAACACAGCTGTAATCTACACTACAAACAGATACAGAGATATGTAACACAGCTGTAATCTACACTACAAACAGATACAGAGATATGTAACACAGCTGTAATCTACACTACAAACAGATACAGAGATATGTAACACAGCTGTAATCTACACTACAAACAGATACAGAGATATGTAACACAGCTGTAATCTACACTACAAACAGATACAGAGATATGTAACACAGCTGTAATCTACACTACAAACAGATACAGAGATATGTAACACAGCTGTAATCTACACTACAAACAGATACAGAGATATGTAACACAGCTGTAATCTACACTACAAACAGATACAGAGATATGTAACACAGCTGTAATCTACACTACAAACAGATACAGAGATATGTAACACAGCTGTAATCTACACTACAAACAGATACAGAGATATGTAACACAGCTGTAATCTACACTACAAACAGATACAGAGATATGTAACACAGCTGTAATCTACACTACAAACAGATACAGAGATATGTAACACAGCTGTAATCTACACTACAAACAGATACAGAGATATGTAACACAGCTGTAATCTACACTACAAACAGATACAGAGATATGTAACACAGCTGTAATCTACACTACAAACAGATACAGAGATATGTAACACAGCTGTAATCTACACTACAAACAGATACAGAGATATGTAACACAGCTGTAATCTACACTACAAACAGATACAGAGATATGTAACACAGCTGTAATCTACACTACAAACAGATACAGAGATATGTAACACAGCTGTAATCTACACTACAAACAGATACAGAGATATGTAACACAGCTGTAATCTACACTACAAACAGATACAGAGATATGTAACACAGCTGTAATCTACACTACAAACAGATACAGAGATATGTAACACAGCTGTAATCTACACTACAAACAGATACAGAGATATGTAACACAGCTGTAATCTACACTACAAACAGATACAGAGATATGTAACACAGCTGTAATCTACACTACAAACAGATACAGAGATATGTAACACAGCTGTAATCTACACTACAAACAGATACAGAGATATGTAACACAGCTGTAATCTACACTACAAACAGATACAGAGATATGTAACACAGCTGTAATCTACACTACAAACAGATACAGAGATATGTAACACAGCTGTAATCTACACTACAAACAGATACAGAGATATGTAACACAGCTGTAATCTACACTACAAACAGATACAGAGATATGTAACACAGCTGTAATCTACACTACAAACAGATACAGAGATATGTAACACAGCTGTAATCTACACTACAAACAGATACAGAGATATGTAACACAGCTGTAATCTACACTACAAACAGATACAGAGATATGTAACACAGCTGTAATCTACACTACAAACAGATACAGAGATATGTAACACAGCTGTAATCTACACTACAAACAGATACAGAGATATGTAACACAGCTGTAATCTACACTACAAACAGATACAGAGATATGTAACATAGCTGTAATCTACACTACAAATAGATACAGAGATATATAGCATAGCTGTAATCTACACTACAAATAGATACAGATATATGTAACACAGTTGTAATCTTCACTACAAATAGATACAGAGAAATGTAACACAGCTGTAATCTACACTACAAATAAATACAGGGATATGTAACACAGCTGTAATCTACACTACAAACAGATACAGAGATATGTAACATAGCTGTNTACAGCTGTAATCTACACTACAAACAGATAAAGAGATATGTAACACAGCTGTAATCTACACTACAAACAGATACAGAGATATGTAACATAGCTGTAATCTACACTACAAACAGATACAGAGATATGTAACACGGCTGTAATCTACACTACAAACAGATACAGAGATATGTAACATAGATGTAATCTACACTACAAACAGATACAGAGATATGTAACATAGCTGTAATCTACACTACATACAGATACAGAGATATGTAACACGGCTGTAATCTCCACTACAAACAGATACAGAGATATGTAACACGGCTGTAATCTACACTACAAACAGATACAGAGATATATAACACAGCTGTAATCTACACTACAAATAGATACAGATATATGTAACACAGTTGTAATCTTCACTACAAATAGATACAGGAAAGTAACACAGCTGTAATCTACACTACAAACAGATACAGAGATATGTAACACAGCTGTAATCTACACTACAAATAGATACAGAGATATGTAACATAGCTGTAATCTACACTACAAATAGATACAGAGATATGTAACACAGCTGTAATCTACACAGAGAAATGTGACATAGCTGTAATCTACACTACAAATAAATACCGGGATATGTAATATAGCTGTCATGTACACTACAAACAGATAAAGAGATATGTAACACAGCTGTAATCTACACTACAAATAAATACAGGGATATGTAATGTAGCTGTCATGTACACTACAAATAGATACAGAGAAATGTGACATAGCTTTAATCTACACTACAAACAGATATAGAGATATACATTCTCATGTGTTAATGAAGTCTAACATATATATGGTTTGAGCTCTTTGTGTTTATCTATATATTTCAGTCATGAAAATTAATATATACTGTAACCATCACAAATTGGATATCTAAGATATCTGTAAGCTATTATATTCCATTGGATGTTTATATATATGAATTGTTTCTCATCTTGCATTGAATATTTCTATATACATTTATATAATATTTTCTTGTTGGTTGACCCCTGCTCATACGTTACAAATCAATCACCTTGGCTTGGTAGCTCCATACATAATCACTTCTCATTGGATATCATGAGATATGAGATATCTAGGTATATCAGGTACACATAATTGATCATTCAATATATAAACAAGCTTGACTGTAGGAAATGTTTAATTACTTAAATTAACATTTAACATTTGTTCAGTTTCTCGTGATTTTATATAAAAAAAACAAAAAACTATATGATTTCAATGTGGCAAATCTGGCTGATTCATCTCAAGGATAACTTAAGTCATGGATGGAACTTATTGTATTAACCAGCTGTCAAAAAGGACTAAAAAGCAAGTACCCCCACCCCAACCAGCCAATCAACCCCAGCCAGCCAATCCACCCCAGCCAGCCAATCCACCTCAACCAGTTGATCCACCTCAACCGGTCAGTCCTCCTTCCACCGAGAAGCCTCCGTCGCAGTCGCAAGTCAGTGCGTCGTCCCAGGCACAGGTGAGACCAGCATCATTGTAGCGGGAGGAGGATTTCGTGTGTCTCTTGAATTAACTATGTTGTTGGTTTAGCATTGTAGTGGCAACTAATACAGTGTTTTGCGCTTACCTTTCATACTCAGGCCTATATAAACAACTCTTCCTTTTGTTTAAATATCAATATGTTTTCTCATCAATTTTCTAATTAAAATCGTGTAAATAGTGCATGAAAATGAGATAGTTGCAAACATGTCCTGTATTTCATACCTGAAGTCTGCATCCTTAGGATACTGAGGATTGAAGTCATTCATCATAGGATATATGACACACTGCGATGATTTTGCTCTGTGAGATTTTTAACCTTTAGCCTTTTGAGACATATTTGGCCGTAAATTTCTGACAAAATAACACTCTTGCAGTAAAATATCTTTTAACATTTATGAAGCGTACATACATGCTGGTGCCATGGAATAAATAGCTGTAATCTACACTACAAATAGATACAGAGTTATGTAACACAGCTGTAATCTACACTACAATTAGATAAGCTGTAATCTACACTACAAACAGATACAGAGATATGAAACACAGCTGTAATCTACACTACAAACATATACAGAGATATGTAACACAGCTGTAATCTACACTACAAAAAGATACAGATATGTAACACAGCTGTAATCTACACTACAATTAGATAAGCTGTAATCTACACTACAAACAGATACAGAGATATATAACACAGCTGTAATCTACACTACAAACAGATACAGATATGAAACACAGCTCTAATCTACACTACAAATAGATACAGAGATATGTAACATAGATGTAATCTATGCTACAAACAGATACAGAGATATGTAACATAGCTGTAATCTATGCTACAAACAGAATAGCTGTAATCTACACTACAAATAGATACAGAGTTATATAACACAGCTGTAATCTACACTACAATTAGATAAGCTGTAATCTACACTACAAACAGATACAGAGATATATAACACAGCTGTAATCTACACTACAAACAGATACAGACATATGTAACACAGATGTAATCTACACTACAAACAGATACAGAGATATATAACACAGCTGTAATCTACACTACAAACAGATACAGATATGAAACACAGCTCTAATCTACACTACAAATAGATACAGAGATATGTAACACAGATGTAATCTACACTACAAATAGATACAGAGATATGTAACCCAGCTGTAATCTACACTACAAACAGATACAGAGATATATAACACAGCTGTAATCTACACTACAAACAGATACAGATATGAAACACAGCTCTAATCTACACTACAAATAGATACAGAGATATGTAACCCAGCTGTAATCTACACTACAAACAGATACAGAGATATGAAACACAGCTGTAATCTACACTACAAACATATACAGAGATATGTAACACAGCTGTAATCTACACTACAAACAGATACAGAGATATATAACACAGCTGTAATCTACACTACAAATAGATATAGAGATATGTAACATAGCTGTAATCTATGCTACAAACAGATACAGAGATATGTAACATAGCTGTAATCTACACTACAAACAGATACAGAGATATGAAACACAGCTGTAATCTACACTACAAACATATACAGAGATATGTAACACAGCTGTAATCTACACTACAAAAAGATACAGATATGTAACACAGCTGTAATCTACACTACAAAAAGATACAGATATGTAACACAGCTGTAATCTACACTACAATTAGATACAGAGATTTGTAAAATAGCTGTAATCTACACTACAATTAGATACAGAAATTTATAACACAGCTGTAATCTACACTACAAATAGATATAGAGATATGTAACACACCTGTAATCTACACTACAAATAGATACAGAGATATGGAACAGAGCTGTAATCTACACTACAAATAGATACAGAGATATGTAACCCAGCTGTAATCTACACTACAAACAGATACAGAGATATATAACACAGCTGTAATCTACACTACAAACAGATACAGAGATATGTAACACATCTGTAATCTACACTACAAACAGAGACAGAGATATGTAACACAGCTGTAATCTACACTACAAATAGATACAAAGATATGTAACACAGCTGTAATCTACACTACAAATAGATACAGTGATATGTAACATAGCTGTAATCTATGCTACAAACAGATACAGATATGTAACACAGCTGTAATCTACACTACAAACATATACAGAGATATGTAACACAGCTGTAATCTACACTACAAATAGATCGAGAGATATGTAACACAGTTGTAATCTATGCTACAAACAGATACAGAGATATGTAACATAGCTGTAATCTACACTACAAACAGATACAGAGATATGTAACATAGCTGTAATCTATGCTACAAACAGATACAGATATGTAACACAGCTGTAATCTACACTACAAACATATACAGAGATATGTAACACAGCTGTAATTTCAACTGTTTATAAAGTATATTTGTATCAGGTGTTTAATGGTTGTGTGTGATGATAAGTTATTTGTTTTCCTTAAGACACCTATATGTAGTTCTACAGAAACTCTACCGTTACTGGATTTTTTCAGTCTGGTGTCTGTCAGAGTTTACATTGTTTGTTTCGTCATGGATAAAGTGACATTTGTGATTAGAGCACGGATATAATTTTAAAGAGTGTTTGTTCCTCTAACACCAGTAAATTTCCAGCAACATTTGTAACTAGAACATCTATAAAGTCCCTTTAACATTTATGACTAGAACACCAATAAATTCCCAGGGATAATTATAACTAAAGTACCAATTCATTCCAAGGAACGTTAAATTTTGTAACTAGAATACTAATAAAGTCTAGATGATCAATCAAGTCCTTTGAGAATACCATTAAAGTCCCTTGAACATTTGTAACTAGAATACCATTAAAGTCCCTTGAACATTTGTAACTAGAACACCAATCAAGTCCCTTGAACATTTGTAAGTAGATTTGTAATTAGATGACCAAAAAAGTCCCTTGAACATTTTTAACTAGAACACCAATAAAGTCCATTGAACATTTGTAACTAGATTTGTAATTAGATGACCAAAAAAGTCCCTTGAACATTTTTAACTAGAACACAAATCAAGTCCCTTTAACATTTGTAACTAGAACACCAATCAAGTCCCTTGAACATTTGTAAGTAGATTTGTAATTAAATGACAAAAAGTCCCTTGAACATTTGTAACTAGAACACCAATAAAGTCCATTGAACATTTGTAACTAGATTTGTAATTAGATGACCAAAAGAGTCCCTTGGACATTTGTTACTAGAACACCAATGAAGTCCCTTGAACATTTGAAACTAGAACACCAATGAAGTTCCTTGAACATTTGAAACTAGAACACCAATACAGTCCCTTGAACATTTGTAGCTAGAACACCAATTAAGTCCCTTGAACATTTGTAACTAGAACACCAATAAAGTCCCTTGAACATTTGAAACTAGAACACCAATAATCTGGTTAACTGTTCGGCTGAGACCACTCGGCCAGTGGTAACAGAACTTGATTTGAATCAACCTTCTCGTAGCCCTGAGCAGATGCTGTTTTTTTCTTTTGATTTAACTCAAAATAGCCTCATTGACTTTTAATTGGCTTACACATTTTTAAATAATTTTCAATTTCACCAAGCGTACAAATGGTCCTGTCAGTTTCCCCATTATTTGAATTCTTTGAGTCAATAAGTAATTGAAGATGATGGTCACTGTTCATGGAAGCATTTGAACTTCTTATCTAAAGTTAACATAATTGAAGATGTGAGTAATATAAGCTTGTTTCTGTATCATATCTCACTTTTTCTGTTTGGTCTCCTTCAACCAGGCTTCAAACAATGACGAACAGACTGTTCCCCAACAGTCTAAGGTGAGGGATTGTTGTCGAACTTCCTTATCATAGTAATGGTGTTGGGATAAACTAACTTCATTTAAACAGGAAATGCATTCTTGGTTCTTTCACCTGCTTAATTGACTGTTTGTGCATACCTCGTCTGAAAAAAGTATCTGAATTATATTTGCTGTGATTTTGGTCAATGTTTTAACATTGGCTTTTTGCTTATTCAAATTTTTTATAACATTAAGTTTCTTGAGTTGATTTTATTTGTGTATATATTTTGAAATGTGTGGAATTCCTACAGTTGATTTTACTTGTGAATATGAGGAATTCCTACAGTTGATTTTACTTGTGAACATGTGATATTCCTACAGTTGATTTTACTTGTGAACATGTGATATTCCTACAGTTGATTTTACTTGTGAACATGTGATATTCCTACAGTTGATTTTACTTGTGAACATGTGATATTCCTACAGTTGATTTTACTTGTGAACATGTGATATTCCTACAGTTGATTTTACTTGTGAACATGTGATATTCCTACAGTTGATTTTACTTGTGAACATGTGATATTCCTACAGTTGATTTTACTTGTGAACATGTGATATTCCTACAGTTGATTTTACTTGTGAACATGTGATATTCCTACAGTTGATTTTACTTGTGAACATGTGATATTCCTACAGTTGATTTTACTTGTGAACATGTGATATTCCTACAGTTGATTTTACTTGTGAACATGTGATATTCCTACAGTTGATTTTACTTGTGAACATGTGATATTCCTACAGTTGATTTTACTTGTGAACATGTGATATTCCTACAGTTGATTTTACTTGTGAACATGTGATATTCCTACAGTTGATTTTACTTGTGAACATGTGATATTCCTACAGTTGATTTTACTTGTGAACATGTGATATTCCTACAGTTGATTTTACTTGTGAACATGTGATATTCCTACAGTTGATTTTACTTGTGAACATGTGATATTCCTACAGTTGATTTTACTTGTGAACATGTGATATTCCTACAGTTGATTTTACTTGTGAACATGTGATATTCCTACAGTTGATTTTACTTGTGAACA